GGGAGGATTCATCCTCTGGGGACCAGGAATGTTTTTATTAAGTGCCACTGTGTTTCTTTTTACAGAAGTGACACAACTAGAGGATTCGTTTGCAGAAACAGAGACCAATCAGGGAAGATCTGTAATGATTATCGCATTCGTTTCAGCTGCCCTCTTTCTTTCTGTGGGGTACAAGGTAGTGTGTGAGCACATTCATGTGCAGAGTAAAGCTACTAATGGAAAGATTATTTACCCTTCTGTTCATCGTTTTTGTGCATAATCATTCTTCCAGAATGTTGCTTTTGCTCTGCAGTTTCCCACAAGTCATCATCTCTCTTTTATTGCTCCGTGCAGCGTGCTGGACAGACTGGTTTGACAGAGATGACCCCAGTGGAACTGGGGACTGGGAAATTCTCGCCAGTCTTCGCATAGCGAACCCAGGAAAGATCTGCCTAACACCAGTAGATATTGAGGTCCAAACTTTAACTGGGCTCAGCATGAATGTAACAGGGGATGTGATTTATAAGTAAGTTCTGACTGAGTATAAATAATTTGTGTGTTTAATGCAATGATTCATATTGTGTTCTACTGAATGTGAGGCTGTAGGAATAGTGTTGGATTAAACTGAACTCTAACACAATGTCAAAAGTAACATGCTGATTATTAAGCAGGTATAACGTTTACAAAGTGCATTGTCTAAGGTTAGCATGTTTGGTCACATGCTGACATTGGCTAATATTCACTGAACATGGCGTACAGCTGAGGCTGATAGGAATGTCATTAGTTTTGGCCTTTAAGTTATAATTTTGACCTGATGATGATGATGATGGGAACACCAAAGTGATTTCACTTAATGAATGTGTTTACCAAATGTAATTGTTGTCCATCCAATAGCTATCAAAATATTACACAACCAACACCGCGAATGTCAACTTTCTGGTTGCGCTGATGGAAGGTGGTCAGGGGATCACCAAAGTTGGGAGGATTCATCCCCTTGGGACCAGAAATGTTTTTACTAAGTGCCACTGTGTTTCTTTTTACAGAAGTGACACAACAGGATTCGCCTGCAGAAACAGAGACCAAAGGGGGAAGATATGTAATGATTATCGCGTTCGTTTGAGCTGCCCTCTTTCTTTCTGCGAGGAAAAAGGTACTGTGTGAGCAGATTCATGTCCAGTGTAAAGCTACTAATGGAAAGATGATTCACCCTTCTCTTCATTATTTTTTGAGCATAAGCATTATTTTAGAATGTTGCTTTTGCTCTGCAGTTTCCCACCAGACATCATCTCTCTTTTATTGCTCCGTGCAGCGTGCTGGACAGACTGGTTTGACAGAGATGACCCCAGTGGAAGTGGGGACTGGGAAATTCTCGCCGGTCTTCGCAAAGCGAACCCAGGAAAGATCTGCCTAACACCAGTTGATATTGAGGTCCAAACTCTAACTGGGCTCACTGTGGCTCAAACAGGGGATGTGATTTATAGGTAAGGTGTGACCGAGTATATATAATGTCAATGTGTTTAATGCAATGTTTCATGTTGTGTTCTACTGAATGTGATGCATTAATGTTGCTACATGATGTGTTTGTGAGACCAAACATATTTCTACATTATATTCTGTTCTATTGATCAGCCATGTACTTGCTCACCAATGAGCATCAGGAAATGTCAGCATACGTAGAAATGTATCTATTTGTGCGGTGGTACAATATCAATATTTCTTCTATTAAGACAGTGACATTTAGTCATTGAGCAGTCACAATAAAATAATACATTGGGTATTGAATATGTTTAAATTTAAAAAGATATATTCATTGTGTGTTATACTACACAAATAAAACAAGAAATTAGGTTCTGTGAGGCTATAGGAACAGTGGTGGATTGAACTGAGCTCTAAAAAAATGTCAAAAGTAACATGCTGAATATTAAGCAGGTATAATGTTTACGATGTGCATCATCTTAGTTTAGCATGTTTGTTCACATGCTAACATTGGCTAATTATCACTGAACATGTCATACAGCTCAGGCTGACAGTAATGTCATTAGTTTTGGCCTTTAAATTAAAATTTTCACCTGATGATGATGATGATGATGATGGATCACCAAAGCGATTTCACTTAATGAATGTGTTTACCAAATGTAATTGTTATCCATCCAATAGCTATCAAAACATTACACTCATCACCACAAATGTCAACTTTCTGGTTGCGCTGATGGAAGGTGGTCAGGGGATCATCAAAGTTGGGAGGATTCATCTTCTGGGGACCAGGAATGTTTTTATTAAGTGTCACTGTGTTTCTTTTTTTCAGAAATGACACAACTACAGGATTCATCTGCAGAAACAGAGACCAATGGAGGGGGCGCCACTGTAATGATTATCGTGTTCGTTTCAGCTGCCATCCCCCTTTCTGTGGTGTACAAGGTACCGTGTGAGCAGATTCATGTCCAGTGTAAAGCTACTAATGGAAAGAGGATTTAACCTTTTCTTCATCGTTTTTGTGCATAAGTGTTCTTTTAGAATGTTGCTTTTGCTCTGCAGTTTCCCACCAGTCATCATCTCTCTTTCATTGCTCTGTGCAGCGTGCTCGACAGACTGGTTTGACATAGATAACCCCAGTGGAAGTGGGGACTGGGAAATTCTCCTCCATCTTCGCAGAATGTACCCAGGAAAGATCTGCCAAACACCAGTAGATATTGAGGCCCAAACTCTAACTGGTCTCACTGTGGCTCAAACAGGGGATGTGATTTATAAGTAAGTTCTGACTGAGTATAAATAATTTCAATGTGTTTAATGCAATGATTCATATTGTGTTCTACTGAATGTGATGCATTAATGTTGCTTCTCGATTTGTTTGTGAGACCAAACATATTTACACATTATATTCTGTTCTATTGATCAACCATGTACTTGCTCACCAATGAGCATCAGGAAATGGCAGCATATGTAGAAAAACAATATATCTATTTTTGCGGTGGTATGATATAAATATTTCTTCTATTAAGAGAGTCACATTTAGTCATTGAGCAGTCACAATAGTATAACACGTTGGATATTGAATATGTTTAAATTTAAAAAGATATATTCATTGTGTGATCTACCACACTACTAAAACAAGAAATTAGTCAATGTGAGGAACAGTGGTGGTTTGAACTGAGCTCTAACACAATGACATACCCCTTGTGAGGACTGACTGATCAGTGACCATAAATGTATTTTCTTTGATTTTTCTGTAAATGCTGACCCCTTGTGTCTGAAACGAACATTCCACTTCCGCATTATTACTCAAAGTACAGCTGATCAGTTCTCAATGCACTTTTGCTCTGATATTAACACAAATCACAATGATGTTGAACTCTTAATACAGTCTTTTAATGAACATTGCATCACATTGCTGGATAAAGTGGCACCTCTTAAGGAAAGGACCAAGGCTGCCTTCAACACTTCTCCGTGGATGACAGACGCTGTCTGCAGCTTGAGACGGAAGTGTCGCAGGACAGAGCGGCAATGAAAAGCCACTGGGCTAGAAGTGCATCGCTCATATGCATCGCTCATATCTCAAAGACCTCAGAGTTTCTTTTAATGCTAGAGTAAAGGAAGCTAGAACTGCTTATTTTGCCAACTTAATCTCTTCCTCAAAGAGAAATCCCAAGATTTTGTTTGACACAATTAAGAGAATTGTTTCACCGTCTGTCTCTACATTACCATGCTGTTCTGTTGATGATTGGAACAAGTTCCGTACCAATCTTTTGAGGCAGTAGCACCGAGGCTATGGAATGCTGTGCCTGCACCTCTACGCCTATCAGATTGTGTGAACACTTTTAGAAATCAGCTCAAAATGCACCTTTTTAGACTGGCGTTTGGAAAAACCCCATGTCCTAGACCTGCTTTTAAACTGTGTTTTAATTTTTAATTTATTCTGTGTGTATGTAAATTATTGGCCCTATGGTCACATTGTGTTTTTTATGCTTGTCATTTCTGCTCTGTTAAGCACTTTGTGACTTTTGTCTGTGAGAAGCGCTTTATAAATACGTTTTACTTTACTTTTACTTACTTAACAAAAGTAACATGCTGATTATTAAGCAGGTATAATGTTTACAATGTGCATCATCTTAGTTTAGCATGTTTGTTCACATGCTAACATTGGCTAAATCTCACTGAACATGTCGTACACCTGAGGCTGATAGGAATGTCATTAGTTTTGCCCTTTAAATAAAAATTTTGACCTCATGATGATGGGAACACCAAAGTGATTTCACTTAATGAATGTGTTTACCAAATGTAATTGTTATCCATCCAATAGTTATCAAAACATTACACTCAACACCACGAATGTCAACTTTCTGGTTGCGCTGATGGAAGGTGGTCAGGGGATCACCAAAGTTGGGAGGATTCATCTTCTGGGGACCAGGAATGTTTTTTATTAAGTGCCACTGTGTGCCTTTTTTTCAGAAATGACACAACTACAGGATTCATCTGCAGAAACAGAGACCAAAGGCGGAGGCGCCGCTGTAATGATTATCGCGTTCGTTTCAGCTGCCTTCCCCCTTTCTGCGAGGAAAAAGGTACTGTGTGAGCACATTCATGTGCAGACTAAAGCTACTAATAGAAAGATGATTTACCCTTCTCTTCATCGTTTTTTGTGCATAAGCGTTCTTTTAGAATGTTGCATTTGCTCTGCAGTTTCCCACCAGTCATCTCTCTTTTATTGCTCCATGCAGTGTGCTGGACAAACTGGTTTGACAGAGATAACCCCAGTGGAAGTGGGGACTGGGAAACTCTCGCCAGTCTTCGCATTGCGAACCCAGGAATGCTCTGCCCAACACCAGAAGATATTGAGGTCCAAACTCTAACTGGGCTCAGCATGAATGTAACAGGGGATGTAATTTATAAGTAAGTTCTGACTGAGTATATATTATGTCAATGTGTGTAATGCAATGATTCATATTGTGTTCTACTGAATGTAATGCATTAATGTTGCTTCTCGATGCATTTGTGAGACCAAACACATTTCCACATTATATTCTGTTCTTTTGATCAGCCATGTACTTGTTAACCAGTGAGCATCAGGAAATGTCAGCATACGTAGAAAAACAATTTATCTATTTGTGCGGTGGTACAATATCAATATTTCTTCTGTTAAGAGAGTGACATTTAGTCATTGAGCAGTCACAATAGAATAACACGTTGGATATTGAATATGTTTAAGTTTAAAAAGATATATTCATTGTGTGTTATACCACACTAATAAAACAAGAAATTAGGTTCTGTGAGGCTGTGAACAGTGGTGGATTGAACTGAACTCTGACACAATGTCAAAAGTAACATGCTGATTATTAAGCAGGTATAATGTTTACAATGTTTATCATCTTAGTTTGTTCACATGCTAACATTGGCTAATATTCACTGAACATGTAGTACAGATGAGGCTGATAGGAGTGTCATTCGTTTTTTGACTTTATATTAAAATGTTGACCTGATGATGATGATGATGATGATGATGGGAACACCAAAGTGATTTCACTTAATGAATGTGTTTACCAAATGTAATTGTTGTCCATCCAATAGCTATCAAAACATTACACTCAACACCACGAATGTCAACTTTCTGGTTGCGCTGATGGAAGGTGGTCAGGGGATCACCAAAGTTGGGAGGATTCATCCTCTGGGGACCAGGAATATTTTTATTATGTTCCACTGTGTTTCTTTTTTTCAGAAGTGACACAACTACAGGATTCATCTGCAGAAACAGAGACCAAAGGGTGAAGCCCCGCTGTGAGGATTATCGCGTTCGTTTCAGATGCCGTTCCCCTTACTGTGGTGGAAAAGGTACTGTGTGAGCACATTC